TCTAGAATTCTAAGTGTCTAATGCTCACCTCATGGTTATGAAAAAGAACCAAAAAGATCAGTTGCTGAAGAACTTCTAATAGAGAGATAGATGGCAAGGTTGACTAGGTATCTATTAGCCAGGCATCGGGTTAGTCATTTTGCACATTTAATCCTCATAGTTTGGAAAGAAGGTTGGGCAATCTACTTCCGTAGTGACATTGCATCAGAAACCCAAGGAGGGGTCACTATGAGTCGGGTCCGACTCGATGGCACATAACAACAAACAACAACCCTCATAGTCAAGAATCCTATGAGGGAGGCTCTAGATCTGTTTGCAAAGGAGAGTGAGGCTGTGAGAAGCTAAGTAACTTAAACACACAGCTTCATGTGTGTTTCATGTGAGCTTCAAGAGTTTTAGCTCATCTGCCTGACTCTCAAACTCATGGTCTTTCCACTATACCCAAACCCCCTGGGTCTATAATTGGTAAAACAGCATATTACAGTGAAAGGCATCAAGAAGACCATGAGCACTAAGGAAAAAAATTCAATATGGTGGCCCATAAAGCTGGTCCTCCTTATAGAAGAATGGCAAATATTGTGAAGGTACCACAGATGACAGCAAGGACAAAGGCCATCCAGGCAACTTTATCAGCTCCTACAAGAGATTGGGCAATCTACTTCTATAGTGATACCACCTCGGAAACCCAAGGAGGGGCCGCTATGAGTTGGATCTGACTTGACGGCAGTGAGTTTGGTTTTCTTGGGTTTCTGACATGAGGCCATTAATAAAGTCTGTTATTTCAAGACAGAATACAAGGACCTTTCCTACTTTGTTCTTCTTTTCCTTATTTTCCATCAGTCTTAAAAAGGATAGGCCAATGATGATAACAATTTTTACAGTGCCAGCATTTATCAAACTCTACTATTGCCGGGCACCATGCTAAGCATTTTAAATGTATTATCTCATTTACTTCTCACCTTGCAAAATAGGTACTATTTTATCTCCTTGCAAAATCAACCTTGCAAAATAGGTACTATTTTATCTCTATTTTATAGTTGAGAAAATCAAGGTTTGGAGAAGCTAATTGGTAAGTGGAGAGCAGATGTTTGAACCACTCAGGTGTCTGACTCTAGAGCCCAAAGTTTACTCTTAGGTATAATACTGTCTAATAAACTTGCTTTGCAGTCTTTATGTCTAGATACTTGGTAGACCAGAGCTCTCTCTCTCTCTCTCTCTCTCTCTCTCTCACATACACACATACATACTCTTCCTTTTCTTGCTCCCTGCATTTTTCCTTCTCCCTCCTTCTCCACAGAAAATATGCTGAAGTCTTACCTAGGGTGAAGCAGTGTTCTCTCCTCTGAGTCACAGACACCAGAGATGGTCCCACCCTTTCAGGGGGTGCACGGCAGATCTGAAAGTTACCTGCCAGGCCATTAACCTGTTCTCATCCAAAAGGAAGACTTCCCCAGTCCCCCACCATTCTTCTAAGCTGCTCCCACTTCTTCCCTATTACTGAAAAGAACCAGTCATCTCAGTTACCTCCCAGGGCAAACTTCATTAGCATGATCTATAAAGTCCCCATGGTTGGGTTGTTTTTTGGACCATTCAGCCTTGGGTTCTTTTTTAAAGCTCTGCATCTTTTCTTCTGATTGCTCCAGAATCTGTCCCAAACAGTTCACCTTGCATCTAAAATGGCTTTCAGGTTAGTGGGTCTATCTTGAGGTCCTGTCTATCTGAATGAAAAATGCTTGGATGAGAAGACATTTGGCAAGCCTGGGCTTCTACAGCTTTATAGTTCTGTGTCATTAGAGCAGCACAGGAGCGACTGGGCAGCTGTGGGCAAGCCAAGCCCTGTTTAGGAAGAAGATGCAGAACAAGGAAGATGAGGTCCAGGGCATTGACTAGAGAGCCTGAGAGCTGTAAAGCACGAAAAGCCTGTGACAGAGGAAGAAAAGTACCTGGGAAGAGGGCTGGAGCCACAGCAACCACAACCACAGTGGATGGAATCAGGAATAAATGAGAGGAAACTGAAATATGAGGACAGCACAATACCCACAGCTAGGGGGTAGGATAGTAAGAGAATGTGGAGTTAAGCTAACAGCTCTGTCCAATTGCTCTGTATACAAACATGTTCACCCTCACATGCATACAGACACATAAGCACATGCCAATCCTGCCCTGCAGTATCCCTTGACTCCTGCTAATTACCCTAAAACTCATGAGTGACCACCTAGTACTTGCAGAAAAGACCCTGGCTTTGCTCACTCAGGCCATCCTGCTGTGCTGTGGCTCTCACAGCTGGTCTTGCTCAAGGCCAACCCTCAGCCCCTCACTTCTCTTCTCTGCTCAGAGCAACCCACTTAAAGTTGCTCTTTTTAAGTCCCTGTCCTTTCTCACCTCATACTCCACTATATGATAACCAGTTCTGGCTTGAGCTTCAGACAGTGATAATGGGGGCAGGTGTATCAAGTATCCCCTCCAGATCTTATAATGATTTCCCCAAATGTCCCACGTGTCCTCTGGTTTCACTCTTTGGAGGGAGCCAGTCAGGCCCTGGGACTTCTCAGGGTCATTGGAAACTCCTAAGCAATCCCTTCCCTATTGTCAATTCTTTCCACTATTACCACAGCCTAGCCCATGACCTATCTATAGCTCTTCCTTCTGCCTGTCACCCATAATATTCATGGAGTGGATCCTTCCTTATTTCCTTTACCATTCTATCTTTCTCTTCCTTGGGGATGAGATCCCTCAGTATCTTCCTTGTTCCTTTTTGCTGGGATCATTATTCTCTCTGGTATCCACCCATGCACTACCCTCTCTCTTGTTAACCCAGTCATATGTCTTAGTCTTCTTCTTCCCTTAAGCAAGAACTAGTACTCAGGACCTGGGCAACTTGTGTACCCCTCCATCTATTCTCTTTGACAGAGACCATGGCTCCCTACACCCCACACCCCCATGCTGCAAGCACCTCCTGGGTATAAAGTAGCCTTGCAAAAAGAAAAAAGGCAAATAAAACATCCTCAGTAAAGGTGGGAAACTTCCTTCAAGATCCCCACCTTCCTGCTCCCTCCTCTGCCCACATACTTCCTGTACTCCTTGGGTCACACCAGGTCCCCTTCCATTCACACTAACCCCACAGTGCAGAGGCTCAATCCTTCTGCCCCACAAAGCCCTGAATCATTCTTCCCCTCCTCCTCTTCATCCTAGTCAGCTAGTCACTGCTATGAGTCACAGCATGTTCATGGGGTAAGTGAAGGAAACTAAGCCCCTGGCCACAGAAGAGCATGGTAGACTAGTGAAGCCTTTGTTGATTGGTATCTGAGAGTCTGGATTCCAGTTCCAACTCTGCTAATCACTAGCTGTTTGATGTGCACAAATAACTATGGACAAGCTTCAGTTGCATCCTCTATGAATAGATAAATTAATAACACCTCATAGGATTGTTAGGAGAATTGAATGACATGATGCTGTAAAAACACATGTACAATGCCTTCTTCCAGTTGCAGTTGAGTTGATTTTGACTCTTAATAACCCCACGTGTGTCAGAATAGAATTTTGCTCCATAGGGTTCTCAATGCCTAGCATTATAGGAAAATGCAATGCACAGTAACTCTCTTATTCTCTGGGGAAAATCATCATAGTTTTGACTTAGGAGGCAGAGACTAAATCTTGACTGTGACATTTCATTGTTATTTTGAGCCAAGAGTCCATGAAGTCCAAGGGCCTGGCCTGAAGTTTTGGATATCTAGGTTTTGAATTATTGGCACAACACAAGGCAAGCTTGTTGGCATTTGGGATTTGCACCACCCATCTATGAAGGAAACATGAAATGCCAGATTTTGACATGACACAGAAGGATGTGAGGATTAAGGAGGCAATTGTCACTTTGCAAGTTGTTTAACAGGATTGTCCTCTGCTAGAAATCTTTTTCAACCTTCATATGAACCCATTAAACCATTTCAACTCATAGTGACCCTATAAGGATGGAGTAGAACTGCCCATAGGTTTCTGAGGTGATAAATCCTTACAGAAAGAGACTGCCTCATCTTTCTCCCGAAGATCTGCTAGTGGGCTTGAACCATCGACCTGTTGGTCAGCAGCCAAATGTTTTAATCACTTTAGTTATTCTCACTCTCAAAAGAGCCATTTGGGTCACCACTCTGGGGACCCTATTGGTTCCACTGATGACAGCCAGTGACAATGGGCATGTGAGAGTCAATCTGACAGCCCTGCTTGGACTGGTCTTGATTTCTCCATGATTCGGGCAGGCCTAACCGAGAACACAATTGCATGGATGAACATTTGGGGTAAAGTGACACTAGGCACTGTGACCACAGGTCCCAAATTCTCCATTCACATTATTTTTCCCCAGTAACAGTGGATTGTTAACTATGTCTAGAAACATCTTTTGATTTTTATACCTTTATAAGATTTTGTGATCAAACCAATTCATAAATCTGAAAATTATGTCAGGCTATCTAACCATAATATGTATGTGGAAGGTATAGTTACTAAGTTCCTGGATAATGGTTTAATAAGAGGTTGGGGTGTTATTAACTTCTCAAATTGAGTGACAAAAAGCACTGGCAGCTTTGTCTCAAGCCCTGCTGCTGGTGAGTCAGATGATTTTGCCCCCTACCTCCCTTCTCTTCTAGTAGCTGTGATATCTTCTGGAATATGCTGTGGGAGGAGCAAGAGGAGTAAAAGACATCCCTATAACCATTTTAGCTTCCTCTTGGTTGAGGCTTCTGCTTCTGTGTTTGAGTGCTGAAATCCCTGTGTGTCCTAGACTGTGTGTTCCGTTCCTTTATAGGGGAGAGCGTCTTGTAATAGAGTATTTCTAAGGGGGAGGCTAACAGTGCCCGGGGCTGACAGCTGAGAACACTCCCCTCACGCCACCCCACACACAGCCGCAGCACAGGGAAGGACACCCGCCTGAGAGCAAGCTTCACAAAGAGGTGGAACAGAGAGGAGGGGGAAGAAAAAACAATCTCAGCCGCAAGCTGGCTGTTTACCTTCCCATAGATCCACTGTCTGAAAAATGTCCGTGGTCCTGACTCCGTAGATCTCCGCTGCTTTTAGGAACTGGGAGATTTGCTCCATCTGCTTAAAAGCCATCTTTGACTCTGAGATCTTTGGGATGGGTTCTTGTCCTGGTGGATATAAACTGTTTATCAGTTTACATAGGACCTGAAGAGGGAGAAGGGGGGAAGACAGAATCAGTGTGGCCCTTTGTATTTGCAGGTCACTCATTCAAAATGAGTCCACCCCGTACACTCAATTCCCTGGGTTTGGGCTGGAACAAGTCTTGGGCTCCAAGAAGACATGGGCTCCAAGCTAGGCACCCAAACCCTGAAAACCTGGATGACCACATTTCCAAGGCTGTGGTAGACCACAGTGTGTCCTGCAGCTGGAAGCCGCCTTCCCTTCTTGCCCCTTCCTTTCATCTTCTGGGTGAGGGAAAGAATGTTTACCGATAGGGAGGGAATGATGTGGAGTGGAGGCGGACATGATTACAGACTTTGTGGAGTGTGGGGAGTTAGTGGCTCCTGGGGGTGGGGTGGGGTGTCAAATGATAAGAATCTAATATCATTTTTTCTATCAAAGGCAGATGAGAATGAGGCTTCCATCACTCATCGCATACGTGCTAATGGTGTGTGAAAAAAAAAAAAAACTGGACTGAGTACCCTCATGCAGGTACTTATAACCACGTCCTGAGCAACCAAATAGAGAGTGGGGTAGCAGTTATGTAACAGTAAATCACAGCCTGTGGGAAATGATGGGCTTGTTTGAATCAGCAAAGCCTGCGTTCCCCCAACCCCCTAAACACACACAATCATCTGGTCAGAAAATCAGTTATTAAATAAGGACTCTCTTTAGTTCTTGGGAACACATTCATTCAACAAACAGACATTGAGCACCCAGAGTTCCAGGAGGGATCAAAAGGTGGCTAGTCCCACAACACTTCCTTTGTTTTGCCATCTACCCAACTCAAACCCCTAGGGGAAGTTACCCCCAGGAGATGGGGAACCAAGAAGGTTGAAAAGATCAAAGAGAAACAGCTACCTCCAGTCTCATTAGGAAAAGCAAAAGGGTACTGAATTTGACAACTCACAAGGAAGCTGCTATGTATGGGATGGATGGAGAATCCTCTAACTAGCTAGGGAATTGCGCAGGGAGCCCAAATGCTCCAAACCTGAAGAAATAAAGGCATTCCCATCCTTCGAGACACAGAGTGTGGCAGCAGCAGCATCTCACCCAGCCATGCGCTAAAACAAAGGCCCCTGGAAATTTCCTTGCCCGCTACTCCAGCAACAAAGATCGCTACTGTCCTTACCGTCCCGTCCATTAACCATTTCTGAAAGTGGGCCCTGCCGGGGGGCGGATGCTCTATGTCCTCGGCGCATTGCAGGATGATCCAGTCCACCAGCTTGTTCTCCAGGTCCGCGTCATACTTCTGCTCGATCTTCTCCTGCACCTCTCGGCTTAGACCATAGCTCGGGCCCCTGTTAGCCATCTCTGGAAGAGAAGAGAGGACACGCGCGGCATCCACACAATAGCACCGCCGCCGCCCCCCGGGGTCCCTCTAAGCTGGGATGGGGCTGGGTGATGATGGCCTGGCCCAGCAGCAGCGAAGCGGGCAGAAAGCCGGGCGTGGTTTAAATCAAGGAGCCGAGGAAGCCAATGGGGTTTCACCTACAAACGGGAAAGAAAAACGCAACCAAGCGCCAGTGACTCTAGAATGAAAGAATAAAGCCCCAGCAGGCCCAGGGGGCTAGAAACCCCCGCTTGGTCCTGCCTTCCCAAGAGAGGAGATGATGTAGGAAGACTCACAATCAAGCCTGAACCTGGAGCAGTAAGGGTATCGGCGGTGGTCCTTTCTTCCCCCTTCTCAGTAGCACTTTGTAAAGGCAGGAGGAACCATACGATCAGAAAGCCCCTGTAATTAACAGGCAGAGAGGAGGGCTGCCTTGACGTTCAGCTGCTGATGTTGCATCATGCGTTGAAGAACCGGACACTGATTTGATTTTCTCAGGGCTGAGGAGGGTCAAACCAAGGCTGTTGCTAAGAGCAGTCCAAAAAGCCAGCCTCCCTTTTGTCAGTCAAGCCCTACCGCCTCCCTCTGGCTTCCAGCTTCTCCCCCAGCTGCACAATTCTTTCCCCTCCTCTGGGGAGACAGGCCAATTTTCTACAAGGCCAGCATGCAGCGCACAATGGGATACCGGCCTCTGGGAGGGCCCATTCTTCCAACTGTCCATCTGTCAGGGGTAGTCAAATCACTTCCCTCTGTCCTGAGATAATAATTGTTCAGGGCAGCAGAGTAGGAGCTGAGAGTTGCAGTCATTGATTTGTTCAGCTCTCAGCTTTGAGATTTCACTCTGAAACTACCATACTTGTGGGAAATTGTTGTACCTCAGTTTAATTTACGCAAGGAGTGTAGGTTTTGAATGTTATTTTAACCATAAGACACTAAGTGTTATAAATTAAGCAGCACAATGTACTAAGAATTCTTTCAGGGAAAGGTTTTGATAAAGAGGGTAAAGATTTCAACTCTTTAATTACAATTAAGGCTCATTAAGGCACACTGACATAGTGTGAGTGGTACTTGAATGTTTGGCATAGGAACACACAAGACAAGAGACCGTAAGCCACTTGAGGGTAGAGATTGATTCTCATTGGTGTTATGTAAGGCTCTCGGTACTTTTCATGATGAAACTCAAATATTTGTTCTTTGGCTCATTTCTTCTCAATGGCATGGGTTTTTTGTTTGTTTCAGTTCTTCATTCAGTAAAACTTATTGAGTAGCAGGACATGGGGAGAGGGAAAAAATATATATACCTCTTGTTTCTAGGAGGGATTGAGGAATTGACTCAGGCATGTTAGAGAAAGCCACTCTAGTATGTGGGATGGTACTTTGTCTCTGTGGGAAATTTATTAGGAACTATGCAGGAAACAACTGCACACATAATGCATGTAATAAGAAAAATCTCCTGCCCAGCTGGGGCCTGCACTAATGAAAATTTAATTACTTAGTAGATATGTGGGTGGTTTGCCTGAGAAAAGACTATGTGGTCAACAGTTGAAGGCTTGAGAGAGAGAACTCTGTAAAACAGAGTGTAAAAGAACTAGGAGCTTTAAGGAGAGCAGTGGGGGTATACAGAGGCAAGAGAAGGGCTGACTACAGACTAAACACATCTTGATGCTGCATAGAATTGCCATTTGAGGAAGCTCTAGACATGAAAACTATCTCCAGGGACAGGAGCTTAGAGGAAGAGTTTAGAGCAGGAAAATTGCCAGTAGCATTATGCAGTCACTGAGCTACAACTTGGGTGGCTACATTAAGGTCAGTTTCAACCTGGGACTAAAGGGGCTGGTGCGGAGGGGGGACGGAGAGCGCAACAGTATTTCACTTCCTCCTTGGCTGTAATTGCTCTAAGGAAGATGTTGGATTGAACTATAAAGCAAGAAATAATTCTCAAAGATGTACATTTGCCTTCTTCCACTCCCCCCTTTTTTTTCTGCAGATTGTATTCTATAGATCTATTATACTCAAAGATTCCCTCCCATTGTAACAAAACATTTGAGGTGTTTTAATTGATTAATTGAGCCCATAGTTCTGGAGAGGGTGCAATGGGAAATAGGGATCATAGCAAGGGTTAAGTTAGAAGTGATCATAAATCCAGAGGAAGTCTTTCGAGAAGAAGCAGCTGATCACCTCAGAGGTGATGAAAACTGGCTCAAGCCAACCTTTACTACTGGGAGTTCTGGAGGCATAGAGCCTAAGGCATTTGACTGCTAACCAGAAGGCTGGAGGTTCAAACCCACCATCCACCATCCACAAGGGCAGCCTACTTGTGCAGTGATACCATCTCGGAAATCCAAGGAGGGGTCATTTACTAAGTGCATCCTAATTTATTCAGCAATCCAGCCACTCCTTGGAAGGAAGATGGGGCAATCTACTTCCGTAGTGATACTGCCTTGGAAACCCAAGGAGGGATCTCTATGAGTCCCTGACTCGATGGCACATAACAACAACAAACAATAGCTGAGATAAGGAACTGTGGTGGTGCAGTGCCTAAGGCATTTTACTACAAACCAGAAAGTTAGCTGTTCAAACCCACAAGCTGCTCAATGGAAGGAAGATGGGGCAATCTACTTCTGTAAAAATTTTCTGCCTCGGAAACCAAATGGCAGTCACTATGAGTAGAAATCCACTCAATGGCAGTGAGATTGGTTTGGTTTTGATAGATGAGATACATAAATGAATGAGAGATGACAACATGGTCCAATGGCAAAGTTAAATTTGTAAAGAATAAATGCCAACCAGTTCTCAGGGTGAAAACATGCACTACATACATGCATCAGGGGCAGAGGCACAGGGAAAGAAAAACAAGGTTGGAATATCAGGCAGGCCACAGATCATAACATGATATGCTTCTAGAAGTCCATGGTTAAATTTTTAGAAATTTTGAGACATTGGTGTTAAATTTACCAATTTAAAAATTGAATTATGTAAATGTACATTTCAATAATGTACTACAAAGGTTAAATACTCAAAACTGATCACTTTCTAATTTATTTTGCTATTATTCTACTATTACCTATCTTGAGGATATTTGTGTCTGTTTCATCTATATACTGTAAGTATTATACAATGATGTACTACTGGGCATTTCTTCCCAACTTCATATTCAGTGATGTCATGATGGTAACTTGAAATCCATCATGGTGGGAGTTTATACACAATGGATATTGGCACATGCACATGCTATAAAGCAGGGCTTTTTTTTTTTTTTTTTTTTTCCTGAAGAGCCAATTGATAAACATTTATAGGCCTTACCACTGAACTTAAGTATCATGCAAAAGAAAATGGACTTTTTTCGTAGGTAAGGAGAGCCATGAGACCTTATTTGAGCAAAAGAAAAAGAGACACTTTAAATCCAAGTTTGACTTGTATTGACAAGGATAATGGTGCATCATTTATTGTACAAGGACATGTAGTTGGGGAAGTACGTATAAGGAGAACAGTAACAAGAATTGCACTAACTGCACTTAAGAGGCCCATGCTAGTTCAGTAAGCAGTTGGTGCTAAGATTCTGGATGGAGCTCAAGAGAGAAATCTAGACTGAGGAGTATATTTGGGAATAATCTACATGTAGGTAGTAATTAAATAAATACATGAATTTATTGCTCAAGGAAAATTAAGTAAGTAGCATGAAAAGAGAGCCAGGCCAGAACTTAAGAGAATATTGACATCACAAGGTGGGCAAGGAGGAGGAGCTAGCAAAGGAGTGTGATGGAACATGGTCAGAGAGATCTGGGGAAAAGAAAATGTCAAAACAAAGCCAGATCCCAGTGGTCCTTTGAGAGAGGGAGGCTGACCTATAAGCTGAGAATTTCAAATTAGCAAGATAGAACTTATTGCTGTCAAAAAGATATGAGCAGAGTTCTGCAAAAGCACAGAAGACCCAGCATAAACTTTCTGGAAAAATAGAGATGGGGGTGAGTCAGGAAAGGTTATACCGAGAAGCCAACATTTGAGCTTCTTTTTTAGTAAAAGGACATCTATCAGCAAAAACTGGAGGCCTTAGGGAAAGGGAAGTCAGAGATATATTGGATTAAAAAATTGCCTGCATGTTTCTAGGTATATTCCATAAATTTACCTGTACAAATGGCAAGGGTTGAGGGAGGAATCTGACCTCCTCTAACTTCACAAGGGAGAAGGATCAAGATCAACAGCCTAAGGCTGATTCCTAGAAGGTGGAGGTCAGACGTGCCTTCATTCTCCAATCTTTTTACCAGTTAACATCAATGGTCCCTCTCATGGCACTCTCAACTTCTCTGCTGGGTTAAATAATCTATTGCAATGACCCACAGAACTCACAGACAACACTCATGATTATAGGATTTATTAGGGAAGTGACAGGTTACAATTCAGGTTCAAAAATGCTCAAGAATTCTATTTGATCAGGACAGTTTTCCATCAGCTTTGCCTGAAGGCAGATATCCCTCTAGCCCTTGGCCTGGCCTCTATCCTACTCAGGCAAGTGTTACAAAGCTCTTTTAGCACTGCCAATAAATTCCTAGAGGCACTCCACTCCACCAATAAACCTCTGCCCCAAAGCCCTCAGCCTTCTTTCTCCGTTGACCAGGAAGCCCAATGCTCTGTCTCATGCTAGTCTCTTGGTTCTGCTACCTCTGCTGCTGCTATTTCTCTACTGCTGCTTCTTGCCATCTCTGGTGTCACAGCTTTCTATCTTTTGGATTGATGTGGTTCAGCATGTCCAAAAGACACAGTCTACTCTGCTTCTAAAACCCTCTGGCTCTTCTTTCTTGATGTATTCACCTTCTGGTTGGCTCATCTTAAGCCTAGTGGGATGGCAAAACTGACTAATCTCCACCTTATTTATATTATTAGCAAGCTATCCAGTCCTCTTGATGGGTCACAAGCACCTCACAATTGTGTACTCCCACCTAGTCATCTGGTAGGAGTCACAAAGACAATGGCTAGAAGGGCCAATACCAAGAAATTCACTACATTGCAATACCAAAATATCATTTTTGTTTTCCCAACAAATCTAGTTATACAAAATACATGATAGTATTTCTAAAGTGAAAGTAACTTTAGATCTATACTTAAAGGAAATTTTAAAAAGGTTAAAAAAAATTGCTATTTAGTCAACTTGACAATCACACATGTATCAGAGTAGAACTGTACTCCATATGGTTTTCAATGGCTGATTTTTTAGTAGATTTCCAGGTCTTTCTTCCAAGGTGCCCCTAAGTAGACTAGAACTGCCAGCCTTTCTGTTAGCAGCAGAGTGAATTAATCATTTTTACTACCCAGGGACTTCATAAAGGTACTAAATTGCATGTATCTTCTCCTCTCCTCCAAAAATATTGTAATTTAACTGTTTCAAATTTAATGGAGACTTGACATTCCCTTTTAGGAACACTTCTGGCAAGGGCTATGTGGCAAGTAATGTTCTTGCTCTGTATTTCCAGGCTTTATAAAACTCAGCTTTGCCCAGAGTGCTTTCCCTCCCCTCCTCCACACACCTTTTTATTGGTTGCTCAGAGAACAGCATATTGCTTGTGTTGTTGTTGTTAAGTGCTGTTGAGTCATCTCTGACTCATAGCAACCCTATGCACAGCAGAATGAAACACTCCTTGGTCTTGTGCCAGCCCCATGATCCTTGCTACACCTGAGCCCATCACTGCAGCCACTGTGTCAATCCATCTTGTTGAGGGCCTTCCCCTTCTTCATTGACCCTCCACTTTACCAAGCATGATATACCTCCCTCTCCAGGGCATGGTTCCTCCTGACCACATGACCAAGATAGGTATGAAGTCTGGCCATTCTCACTTCCAAGAAGCATTCTGGTTGCACTTCTTCCAGGACAGATCTGTTAGTCCTTTTAGCAGTTCATGGTACCTTTAGCATTCTTCTCCAACACTGCAACTCGTAAGTATCAACTCTTCTTCCATCTTCCTTATTCATTGTCCAGCTCTCACATGAAAAAGAGGTGACTGAAAATACCATGGCTTGGGTTAGGTGCACCTTAGTCTTCAAGGAGACATTTTTGCTCTTCATCACTTGAAAGAGGTCTTTTGCAGCAGATTTGTCCAATCCAATCCATCATCTGATATCTTGACTGCTGCTTCCATTGCTGTTGATTGTAGAACCAAGTGATATGAAGTCCTTGACATCGTCAATCTTTTCTCCATCCATCATGAAGCTGTTTATTAACAGCACATTGCTTAGTATTTGGCAATGCCTCTAAGCTCAACGGATAAAGCAAAAGCAAAATATTTCAAATAGCTTCATCTAGCCTTCCTTTCCATCAGCATTTGTCTCATCTCTTTCCATTGCAATGCTGAGATTGTATAGCGGTGGCATTTTCAAAACAATGCAGAAGTTCCAAAGGATAATGCACTCAGTGGGTGCTTGCTGCTCAAACATTTTCTGTGACCAAATACAAGGGATGGATTTTTTTTTTTCCTCTCTAAAGAACTTTAGGAAAAAAAATACTAAAGTAATTAACAATGTGTTGGAATACACTAACTTTCATTGACTCAAACTCCAGGCATTTGGAATTTGTGAAGTTAACCTCTAACAAGTTAGATTAAATTTTAAGCAGCTTCTGTTTCTAGACTGTGAAGGTCTTTTTTTAGCTCCTGACCATTTGAAAGGATTTTGTAACACTGACATGATCAAATCCAGTTCAGCTTTAAAAGCCCTCCCCACTGCCTACACTCCATGTTATTTATGTTCATCAGTCTCTCACTGGATTGCTCTGTGCATCATAAAAGCTAAAAGGCAGTGCCTCCTGTGCTTTAGACATTGCTCTAAACTAAATGTGTGCTGCTTCTGAACCTATCAGTCTTTACACATCATAATGTAGGTTTCTATCAGGCCATTTTATACATGAGGAAACTGAAGCTCAGGAAAGTTAAGTGAATTGCTAAGTCACAGAGCTAGCACTTGGTGAGCCAAGGCTTCAGAGTCCTTGCCATTAACCATTATACTATACTGCCTGTACAGTTATTGTAATTATGTTTGATCCTAGAAAACTCTCATGGACAGGGCTCCTTTCTTTCTAATTCTTACATGTAGCAGTATCTAGACAGAAGAGGCCCCTGGATTTCTTGAATGAAATAATAGCCAATAATCAACCCATTCCAGCACCAGGCACTCCACTGTACACATAGATTTATGGAATTTTGATTTGTTAGGGACTTTTGTATGGTATAAAAGATAACCTGGAAGTTATAGTTTTATTCCCTGTAGGACATTACCAGTTTTTTATCTGTGTTGGGAGTCTCCAACACCACGCCCAGGTTTGATGATTTGCCAGGACTTAGCACATATTCACAGCTGATTTATGTATTCAGCTGCTAACTGAAAGGCTGGTGGTTGGAACCCAACTAGTGGCTCTGTGGAAGAAAGAATTCGCATTTGCTTCCATAACATAAAGATTACAGTCTAGAAAATCATACAAAGCAATTCTACTGTTACACAGGTTGCTATGAGTCAAATCGATTTGATGGCACCTAACAACATGATTTACAATGGTGAAAGGGTATGAAGCATCAGCAGCAAAGGAAAATGGTGCAGGGAAACCAGGAGGCAGCTTTCAAAAATCATGTCCCAGTGGTCATACAGAATGCTCATTTCCCCAGCAAGTTGTGACAACATATGTGGTATGTTGCCAACGAGAAGTTTTAGTGCTCAGGGTTTTCACTGGGGGCTGGTCACATACGCATGTTTAGCACATATTCCAGACTGCCAGAAGGAATGCAGGTGTTCAGCATATACCAGAGTTTATACTAACAGTTTAGTCACACTGAGCTTAAACTGGCTCCAATCAGTTCTGGGTAGGGTGGAACTATCCTGAAATACAAGTTCCAAGATGCTAACCAAGGGCCAACCTTGTATGCAAGCCATTCTAAGGATAAGCAGTCATGCCTGCCATGTGAACTCTTCTCTGCAGAGTACCTAATCTAGCCGTTTTACTCTAACTTCAATGCCTATATT